AGACTGAGAGAGAAAAAGAGAAAAAGAGAGATTGAGAGAGACAGAAAGAGAGAAAGAGAAAGAGAGAGAGACAGACAGTTTGAAGCTGCACTTGAATTTCAGAGATTTTTTGCATTCATGGTCAAATCCAACCCAAATGATGGACCCGCTTATCCTAAAGGGCTAATGGGGAAAAGAAAATATAGGTAGTCCTCCATTTACGACAGTTCACTTAATGACGGTTCAAAGTTACAACGGCACTGAAAAAAGTGACTCAGGACCATTTTTCACACTTAGAACCCATTGCCGCCTCTCCTGTGGTCACATGATCCGAATTAAGATCCTTTTTTTAAAAAATTTTTTTTTAATTTATATGCCGCCCTTCTCCGGAGACTCAGGGCGGCTTACAATGCGTTAAGCAATAATCCAATTTGATTTGGGCTTTCGTTAAACAAGGAAGGGGCTCCCCGTTGGGAACGTGTGATCGTCTCGGGAGGGGGGGGGACTACAGCACCTATCATCCCTGTTCACGCCGGCTGGGCGGGGTCAATGGGAGCTGTAGTCCAAAGCCTTTGGAGGCAAGCAGATAGAACGACTTTGCGTCAGATTCGGTCTGTGGAGAGTTGGGCTTGGATGGGAAAGTCCAAGAACGGCTTCAATCAAATCACTTATAGACGTTGTCCTTGACTTGGATAGTCACTTTGTCTGAAGTGGTATAGGCCAGGGTTTCCTGTCTGAGCAGGGGGTTGGACTAGAAGACCTCCAAGGTCCCTTCTCCTCTCCTCTCCTCTCTTCTCCTTTCCCTTCCCTTCTCCTTCCCCTCGTCTTGTCTTCTTTCCTTTCCTTTCCTTTCCTTTCCTTTCCTTTCCTTTCCTTTCCTTTCCTTTCTTTCCTTTCCCTTCCCTTCCCTTCCTCCTCTCCTCTCCTTTCCCTTCCCTTTTGCCTCCTTTCCTTTCCTTTCTCTTCCTTTCCTTTCCTTCCCTTTCCTTTCTCCTCTCTTCTCCTTTCCCTTCCCTTCTCCTTCCCCTCATCTTGTCTCCTTTCCTTTCCTTTCCTTTCCTTTCCTCTCTCCTCTCCTCTTTCCTTCCCTTCTCCTTCCCCTCATCTTGTCTTCTTTCCTTTCCTTCCCTTCCCTTCCCTTCTCGTCCCTTCCCTTTCCTCTCTCCTGTCCTCTCTTTTCCCTTCCCTTCTGCCTCCTTTCCTTTCCTTTCCTTTCCTTTCCTTTCCTTTCCTTTCCTTTCCTTTCCTTTCCTTTCCTTTCGTTTCCTTTCCCTTCCCTTCTCCTCTCCTTTTCTCTTCTCCTTTTCCCTTCCCTTCCCTTCCCTTTCCTTTCCTTTCCTCTCTCCTCTCCTCTCCTTTCCCTTCCCTTCTGCCTCCTTTCCTTTCCTTTCCTTTCCTTTCCTTTCCTTTCCTTTCCTTTCCCTCTCCTCTCCTCTCCTCCTCTTTATTTCTCTTCTCCCCTCTTCTCCCTCCCCCTATTCCTATGCCTTTTCTCCAAAGCACCTGAAGAAGAAGCAACTGATTGAAACTAATCAAGGAGAGAAGCAACCTGGAATTAAGGAGAAACTTCCTGACAGTGAGGACAATTAACCAGTGGAACTGCTTGCCACCAGAAGTTGTGGGTGCTCCATCACTGGAGGTTTTGAAGAAGAGACTGGACAGCCACCTGTCTGAAATGGTATAGGGTCTCCTGCCTGAGCAGGGGGTTGGACTAGAAGACCTCCAAGGTCCCTTCCAACTCTGTTAATTCTGTATTCTGTCTCCTGCCTGATCTCTTCGTCCTTCAGGGTCCACCCAAAATGTTGAGCTGGTCCTCCTTCAAAGCAAGGCCCCGAGGAGCTTTCCAGAAACAGCCTGGCCAGTTTTCCCAGGGGGACCGTCAGCCGTCCTCGGGGCCGTGTGGACGTCGTGGCCTTTCGGGGTTTATTTTCGGAGCTTTCTCCAGAAATATCTCCAAGCATGAGAACCAAACTTTCTTGAAGTCCTTTTGACGGTTTTTCTTCCACCATCCTTAAGAAGGCAAAATATCCTTGGGGCGCCAGCTTGGAGAACCAAGGAAGAGCTCAGCTCTAGGCTGAAAAGAATGGGAGGTGGGGTGTCTGCAAGCTGAATTTAGGCAGTCCTCGACTTACAACAGTCCATTTAGTGACCAGCGCTGAAAAAAACCCCAATTGACAACCGTTTTTCTCACTTAACGACCGTCGCAGACTCCCCGCGATCAAAATTCAGACGCTTGGCGCCTTGAGCTGACTCCTATTTATGACGTTCGCCGTGTCCCCGGGGTCATTCGATCCCCATTTGCGACCTTTTGGTGAGCGGACAGTCAATGGGGACGTCAGATTCACTTAATAACAGTGTTAGTGACTTAACAAGTGCGAAGTGATTCGCTTAGCAACCGTGGCAAGCCAGGTCGTAAAAAAAGGGGTCGAAACTCGCTGAACCGATGTCTTGCTTAGCGACGGAATTTAGATCAATCAATTGTGGTCGTAAGTCTGAAACTAGCTGTATTTATGGATTTATCATCTCATGGTGTGAGACGCAGGCGTGTGTGGCAATGAAAACAATTGTGCTAGGGAGGCCAGGGAACAAATGTGGGGGTGGTTTGGGGCTTGGGGCTTCGCCGTGGGGCAGTTTGGGGATGAGGAAGGGGGAGAGAAGGAAGGAATCCAGCCCTAAACTCTGAATTTCTAGCTATTAGCCAGCAAAATTCCTGCATATTTATTAATAGCAATTCTATTTTTTTCCTTCTGTTGTAAACACAACATGTTCCCCGTCCATCCAGGTGTTTCCAGCAGTGGCCAAAATAAAATAATATAAATAAAATAAATAAAATAGGCCTCAGTTGTATGTTTGCAGCCTTCCTCGGAATTCGTACTTGGCCCGAAGGGAATCGTCCAAATTGTTGGGTTCTGTTTTCTTTTCTTTGTACAGGAAAAAGGGATTTTGCAGCCATCTGCAGCTCCTTAAACCCAGATCCCTCTTTCCTTAGTCTACACTGCAGGGGTGGAGGCGGGTGGCAGTTTAGTCCTGCAAAATGCCTTTGGTTGTAAATATAGGAAGTCCTCGAGTTAACCACCGTTCGTTTAGTGACATGTTCGAAGTTACGACGGGACTGAAAGAAGTGATTTACGGATGTTTTTCACACTTAACGACCGTCGCCTCATTCCCCAGGATCAGAATTCAGAGGCTTGGCAATTTGGCTCGTATTTATGACGGACGCGGTGTCGAGCAAAGTCAGTGGGGAAGCCAGATTCACTCAACAACTGTGCGACTCACTTAATAACTGCAGCGATTCCCTTAACAATGATGGCGAGAAAGGTCATAAAACAGGACAAAGCTCACTTTACAACTGTCCCGCTTAGCAACAGAAATTTTGGCCTCGATTGTGGTCGTAAGTCCAATACAGGTATCCTTTGACTTATGGCCACGATTGAGCCCCAAATTTGCCTTGTTAAGCGAGACCGTTGTTAAGTGAGCTTTGTCCCGTTTTACGACCTCTTTTGCCACGGTTGTTAAATCACCGCAGTTGTTAAGTGAGCCGCACTATATAAGCCCAGGCACTTACAAACGTCAGAATTTGCATTTATAAAAAGCCGCTTCAGTCATGGTCATATATTTCGAGTTCGGGGAAACTGTTCTATCATGAATTATCACATGAATATTGTTTTCGAATAATCTAAATTGTAACTGAAGTATAATAAGATAAGATAAGAGGACAGGACAGGACAAGATAGGGTATAAAATAAGATGATAGGATAAGGTAAAATCAGATCAGATCAGATTTCTTTACTACCATTTCTGAGGGTGTGGCTTGGTGGGCATCGTGGGTTGGTGGGTGTGGCAGGGGAAGGATATTGCAAAATTCCCGTTCCCACCCCACTCCAGGGGAAGGATATTGCAAAATTCCCGTTCCCACCCCACTCCAGGGGAAGGATATTGCAAAATCCCCATTTCCACCCCACTCCAGGGGAAGGATACTGCAAAATCTCCATTCCCTCCCCACTCCTGGGGGAAGGATACTGCAAAATCTCCATTCCCGCCCCACTCTAGGGGAAGGATATGGCAAAATCCCCATTCCCGCCTCACTCTAGGGGAAGGATATTGCAAAATCCCCATTCCCACCTCACTCCAAAGGAAGGATATTGCAAAATCTCCATTCCCACCCCACTCCAGGGGAAGGATATTGCAAAATCTCCATTCCCACCCCACTCCAGGGGAAGGATACTGCAAAATCCCCATTCCCACCCCACTCCAGGGGAAGGATACTGCAAAATCCCCATTCCCACCCCACTCCAGGGGAAGGATACTGCAAAATCTCCATTCTCACCCCACTCCAGGGGAAGGATACTGCAAAATCTCCATTCCCACCCCACTCCAGGGGAAGGATATTGCAAAATCTCCATTCCCACCCCACTCCAGGGGAAGGATATTGCAAAATCTCCATTCTCACCCCACTCCAGGGGAAGGATATTGCAAAATCTCTATTCCCACCCACTCCAGGGGAAGGATACTACAAAATCCCCATTCCCTCCCCACTCCTGGGAGAAGGTTATTGCAAAATCTCCATTCCCACCCCACTCCAGGGGAAGGATATTGCAAAATCTCTATTCCCACCCCACTCCAGGGGAAGGATACTACAAAATCCCCATTCCCTCCCCACTCCTGGGAGAAGCTTATTGCAAAATCTCCATTCCCACCCCACTCGGGGGCTAGCCAGAGGTGGCATTTGCCGGTTCTCCGAACTATTCAAAATTTCCGCTACCAGTTCGTCAGAACCTGCTGGATTTCACCCCTGAGTAACACCCTCTTATTTACACCCCGGGTAATTTATTAACTCCTGCAGAAATTTTAATTAGGCTGTTGATTTTGTTTTCAAAAGCATTTTAAAGCTTTTACGCTCCTTCTCCTGGCAATTTTTTTTTCTTTTTTTTTGGTCTTTTATTTGCAAAGTGGCCAGAAACGAGAGCGAGCAACAGGGGGGTCTAATTTTTCTCCTTTTTTTTTTCTTTCTATCTTCACAGCTGGACCCCCAGACGGTGCAGACCAAGAACTGGCAGGTGGATGTGATCGAGATGAACGGAGTAAGTCAATAAGATGGGGTGCTGGTCACCCCATTTCGGTTTTCCCCATCACTTCCGGGAGAGCCTCCCCCTTCCTCTGGGTATGATATGGAGCCCCATATCATGTAATCAGAATTTTCCTTCCTTCCTTCCCTCCCTCCCTCCTTCTTTCCTCCCTCCTCTTTTTCTCCTTTCTTCCTTCCCTCCCTCCTTCATTCCTTCTTTCCTTCCTTCTTTTCCTCCCTCCTTCTTTTCTCCCTCTTCTCTTTCTCCTTCCTTCCTTCCTTCTTTCCTTCCCTCCCACCCTCCTTTTTTCCTCCCTCTTCTCTTTCTCCTTCCTTCCTTCCCTCCCTCCTTCCTTCTTTCCTTCCTTCCCTCCCTCCCTCCTCTTTCTCCTTCCTTCCTTCCTTCCTTTCTCCCTCCTCTCTTTCTCCTTCCTTCCTTCTTTCCTTCCTTCCTTTCCTCCCTCCTTCTTTTCTCCCTCCTCTCTTTCTCCTTCCTTCCTTCCTTCCTTCCTTCCCTCCCTCCCTCCTTTTTTCCTCCCTCTTCTCTTTCTCCTTCCTTCCCTCCTTCTTTCCTTCTTTGCTTCCTTCCTTTCCTCCCTCCTTCTTTTCTCCCTCCTCTTTCTCCTTCCTTCCTTCCTTCTTTTCTTCCCTCCCACCCTCCTTTTTTCCTCCCTCTTCTCTTTCTCCTTCCTTCCCTCCCTCCTTCCTTCCTTCTTTCCTTCCTTCCTTCCCTCCCTCCTTCATTCCTCCCTCCTTTCTTTTTCCTTCCTTCTTTCTTTCCTTCCTTCCTTTCCTCCCTTTTCTCCCTCCACTCTTTCTCCTTCCTTCCTTCTTTCCTTCCCTCCCACCCTCCTTTTTTCCTCCCTCTTCTTTCTCCTTCCTTCCTTCCCTCCCTTCTTCCTTCCTTCTTTCCTTCCTTCCCTCCCTCCTTCTTTCCTCCCTCCTCTCTTTCTCCTTCCTTCCTTCCCTCCTTCTTCCTTCCCTCCTCTCTTTTTCCTTCCTTCCCTCCCTCCTTCTTTCCTCCCTGTTTTCTTTCTTTTTCCTTCCTTCCTTCCTTCTTTTCTTCCACTCTTGAAAGTGTGCAAATTCTGATTACATGATATGGAGCTCCTTTGACGGACATAAGTGCGAGGACTGGTCATAAGTCCCTGTTTTCAGTGCCATTGTAACTTTCAACAGTCACAACCACTCATTTAGTGACCGCTTAAAGTTACAATGGCACTGAAAAAGGGACTTTTGACCAGTCCTCATACTTATGTCCGTCACAGCTACATAATCAGAATTTGGACACTTGGCAACGGACTCCTATTTATGACAGTCATGGTGTGCCCAAGGGTCGTGTGATCTCCTTTTGTGACCGTCTGACAAGCCAAGTCGATGGGGAAGCCCGATTCATTTAACATCCGTGTTACTAACTTAGCAACTGCAGTGATTCACTTAACAACGGTGGCAAAAAAGGTCGGAAAATGGAGCAAAACTCACTTAGCAACTGTCTTGCTTAGCAACAGAAATTTTCGACTCAACTGTGGTCCTAAGTCAAGGACTGCCTGTATAATCAATGCATCCTGGTTCTGGATCTGCTTAGTGTGATTCGCTTAACAACTGTGCCAAAAAAAAGGTTGTATACGTAGTTCTTGACTTACGACCACAATGGAGCCCAAGATTTCTGTTGTTAAGTGAGACATTGGTTAAGTGAGTTTTATCCCATTTTACGACCTTTCTTGCCACCGTTGTTAAGTGAATCACTGCAGTTGTGGATCTGGATTCCCCAACTGACTTTGCTTGTCAGAAGGTCGCCAAAGGGATCACGTGACCACAGGGAGGCTGCAATGGTCGTAAGTGTGAAAAACGGTCCTAAGTCACTTTTTCCAGTGCTGTTGTAACTTTGAACGGTCACTAAATGAGCTATTGTAAGTAGAGGACTACCTGTGAAATCATACATGACTTGACGAGCAACCGCCGTTCTTAGCAACGGAAATCCCACTTCCGACTGCGGTCATAAGTCGAGGACCCACCAATAACCAGGAATGCTTTGTTTTTTGCCTAATATTTTGCAGTCTGTGATTTTTCTGATTGGTCTGTTTTTTTTTTCCAGGTGAAAGTAGAATTTTCCATGAAATTCACCAGCCGGGATATGAGCCTCAAGAGGACCCCCTCGAAAAAGCAGACCGGGGTCTTTGGAGTCAAAATCAGCGTGGTCACTAAGTAGGTTGGGCTGGGGGCCTAAGACGCTGAGCAAGGAAAAGGAGTGGGTGGGTGTGTATGTGGGGAGGTGCAACAGAGCAACAATATATTTGGGGAATATATACGAAGAGCCAGTTTGATCCAGTGGTTCAGGCACCAGGCTACAAACTAGGAGACGGTGAGTTCTAGTCCCGCCTTAGGCATCAAAGCCAATTAGGTAATTTTGGGCCAATCAGCAGGAGAGGGTGAGTTCTAGTCCCGCCTTAGGCATCAAAGCCAATTAGGTAATTTTGGGCCAATCATCAGGAGACGGTGAGTTCTAGTCCCGCCTTAGGCATGAAAGCCAGCTGGGTGACTTTGGGCCAATCAGCAGGAGAGGATGAGGTTTAGTCCCGCCTTAGGCATGAAAGCCAGCTGGGTGACTTTGGGCCAATCAGCAGGAGAGGATGAGTTCTAGTCCCGCCTTAGGCATGAAAGCCAGCTGGGTGACTTTGGGCCAATCAGCAGGAGAGGGTGAATTCTAATCCCGCCTTAGGCATGAAAGCCAATTAGGTGACTTTGGGCCAATCAGCAGGGGAGGGTGAGTTCTAGTCCCGCCTTAGGCATGAAAGCCAATTGGGTGACTTTGGGCGGGTCCCTCTCTCAGCCCAACCCACCTTACAGGGTTGTTGTTGTTTTAGGAGGAAGGAGGTGAAGTATTTCTAAAAATAATAAAGCTGGGGAATTCTGGGAGTTGAAGTCCACATAGCTCAAAGTTGCTGGGGCTCTTCTGCCGAATTCCTGGGTCTCTCTGATCCGCCATGCTCTCCCCCCCCCCGTAGGCGTGAGCGATCCAAGATCCCGTACGTCGTGCGCCAGTGTGTGGAGGAGGTAGAGAAACGGGGCATTGACGAAGTCGGCATCTACCGGATCTCAGGGGTGGCCACCGACATCCAGGCCTTGAAAGCTGCCTTTGATTCCAGTGAGTTTCCCTCCCTCCCACTCTCCCTTCTATTCCTTCCTTCTTTCTTCCTTCCTCTCTCCCTCCCTTCTCTTCTTTCTTTCCTTCCTTCTCTTCCTTTTCTTCCTTCCTCCCTTCCTTCGTTCCTCCCTTCTCTTCCTCCCTTCCCTTCCTCCCTCCCTCCTTCCCTCCCTCTCTTCCTTCCTTCTCTTCCTTCCTCCCTCCCTCTCCTTCCTCCCTTCCTTTGTTCCTCCCTTCTCTTCCTCCCTTCCCTTCCTCCCTCCCTTTCCTTCCTCCCTCCCTCCTTCCCTCCCTCTGTTCCTTCCTTCTCTTCCTTCCTCCCTCCCTCTCCTTCCTCCCTTCCTTTGTTCCTCCCTTCTCTTCCTCCCTTTCCTTCCTTCCTCCCTCCGTTCCTTCCTTCTCTTCCCTCCTCCCTCCCTCTCCTTCCTCCCTTCCTTTGTTCCTCCCTTCTCTTCCTCCCTTCCCTTCCTCCCTCCCTCCTTCCCTCCCTCGGTTCCTTCCTTCTCTTCCTTCCTTCGTCCCTCCCTTCCTCCTTCCTCCCCCCCTTTCCTTCCTTCCTTCCTCCCTGCTTCCCTCCCTCCGTTCCTTCCTTCTATTCCTCCCTCCCTCTCCTTCCTCCCTTCCTTCGTTCCTCCCTTCTCTTCCTCCCTTCCTTCCTTCCTCCGTTCTCTTCCTTCCTTCTTTCCTCCGTTCTCTTCCTTCTCTTCCTTCCTTCCCTCCCTCCCTTTCCTTCCTCCCTTCCTCCTTCCCTCCCTCCGTTCTCTTCCTTTCTCCCTCCCTCCCTCCCTTTCTTCCTCCCTTCTCTTCCTTCCTTCCTTCCTATCTTGGAAGTATGCAAACGATGGTTCATGGCACGCTCCATGTGGGTGGCTTCAAATTGGGCCAACAGCTCTCCAAGCTCGCAGATTGTTTGCGGCTGAAATTTTGAGGGAGGCTGCCCCTAAAAGCCGTGTTTTTCAAGATGAGGAATTTTAAGATGCATGGACTTCCAGAATTCCTCACAGCCAGCTTCTTTTAGATGCTTGGTGTCTGGTTGGGGAATTCTGGGAGTTAAAATAGACCCCCTCTAAAAGTGTGGAATTCTGGGAGTGGAAGTCCACCCCTCTTAAAGCATGGCTGGCTGAGGAATTCTGGGAGTGGAAGTCCACCCCTCTTAAAGCATGGCTGGCTGGGGAATTCTGGGAGTTAAAATAGACCCTCTCTAAAAGTGTGGAATTCTGGGAGTTGAAGTCCACCCGTCTTAAAGCATGCTGGCTGGGGAATTCTGGGAGTGGAAGTCCACCCCTCTTAAAGCATGGCTGGCTGGGGAATTCTGGGAGTGGAAGTCCTCCCCTCTTAAAGCATGGCTGGCTGGGGAATTCTGGGAGTTAAAATAGACCCTCTCTAAAAGTGTGGAATTCTGGGAGTGGAAGTCCACCCCTCTTAAAGCAGGCTGGCTGGGGGATTCTGGGAGTGGAAGTCCACCCCTCTTAAAGCATGGCTGGCTGAGGAATTCTGGGAGTGGAAGTCCACCCCTCTTAAAGCATGGCTGGCTGGGGAATTCTGGGAGTGGAAGTCCACCCATCTTAAAGCATGGCTGGCTGGGGAATTCTGGGAGTTAAAATAGACCCTCTCTAAAAGTGTGGAATTCTGGGAGTTGAAGTCCACCCGTCTTAAAGCATGGCTGGCTTGGGAATTCTGGGAGTGGAAGTCCACCCCTCTTAAAGCATGGCTGGCTGGGGAATTCTGGGAGTGGAAGTCCTCCCCTCTTAAAGCATGGCTGGCTGGGGAATTCTGGGAGTTAAAATAGACCCTCTCTAAAAGTGTGGAATTCTGGGAGTTGAAGTCCACCCCTCTTAAAGCATGGCTGGCTGGGGAATTCTGGGAGTGGAAGTCCACCCCTCTTAAAGCATGGCTGGCTTGGGAATTCTGGGAGTGGAAGTCCACCCCTCTTAAAGCATGGCTGGCTGGGGAATTCTGGGAGTGGAAGTCCTCCCCTCTTAAAGCATGGCTGGCTGGGGAATTCTGGGAGTTAAAATAGACCCTCTCTAAAAGTGTGGAATTCTGGGAGTTGAAGTCCACCCGTCTTAAAGCAGGCTGGCTGGGGGATTCTGGGAGTGGAAGTCCACCCCTCTTAAAGCATGGCTGGCTGAGGAATTCTGGGAGTGGAAGTCCACCCCTCTTAAAGCATGGCTGGCTGGGGAATTCTGGGAGTGGAAGTCCACCCATCTTAAAGCATGGCTGGCTGGGGAATTCTGGGAGTTAAAATAGACCCTCTCTAAAAGTGTGGAATTCTGGGAGTTGAAGTCCACCCGTCTTAAAGCATGGCTGGCTTGGGAATTCTGGGAGTGGAAGTCCACCCCTCTTAAAGCATGGCTGGCTGGGGAATTCTGGGAGTGGAAGTCCTCCCCTCTTAAAGCATGGCTGGCTGGGGAATTCTGGGAGTTAAAATAGACCCTCTCTAAAAGTGTGGAATTCTGGGAGTTGAAGTCCACCCCTCTTAAAGCATGGCTGGCTGGGGAATTCTGGGAGTGGAAGTCCACCCCTCTTAAAGCATGGCTGGCTTGGGAATTCTGGGAGTGGAAGTCCACCCCTCTTAAAGCATGGCTGGCTGGGGAATTCTGGGAGTGGAAGTCCTCCCCTCTTAAAGCATGGCTGGCTGGGGAATTCTGGGAGTTAAAATAGACCCTCTCTAAAAGTGTGGAATTCTGGGAGTTGAAGTCCACCCGTCTTAAAGCATGCTGGCTGGGGAATTCTGGGAGTGGAAGTCCATCCATCTTAAATCATTGCTGGCTGGGGAATTCTGGGAGTGGAATTTGCCAACCTTGAGAGACAGCTGTTCCAAACCCAGGCTTGATTTGAATCCTAGACAGCAAAGATATCCTGGTGATGCTGAGCGACATGGATATCAACGCCATCGCGGGGACCCTGAAGCTGTACTTCCGCGAACTGCCGGAGCCCCTCCTGACAGATCGGCTCTATCCAACTTTTATGCAAGGCATCGGTAAGGACTTCCCTGCGCTTATATTTTTGGGGGTGAGTAGGTGCTAGACGGTGTCACAATTTGCAGCCCCAAGACTCTAAACCAGGGGTCTCCAAACTTGGCAACTTTAAGACTTGTGGACTTCAACTCCCAGAATTCCTCAGCCAGCAAAGCTGGCTGAGGAATTCTGGGAGTTGAAATCCACAAGTCTTAAAGTTGCCAAGTTTGGAGACCCCTGCTCAAAAGCAAAGCATAGCCAATCTCATTTTTGAGAAAGTTTGCATTAGTACAGGCAGTCCTCGACTTACGACAGTTTGTTTAGTGACCGTTCGAAGTCGCAACGGCACTGAAAAAAGCGACTTATGGCCAGTTTTCACACTTAACGACCGTTGCAGCATCCCCGTAGTCAAAATTCAGATTCTTAGCCACTGACTCGTATTTAGGACGGTTGCAGCACCCCGGGGTCACGCGCTCCCCCTTTTGCGACCTTCCGACAAGCAAAGTCAATGAGGGAAGCCAGGTTCACTTAACAGCCATTTGACTCACTTAACAACTGTAGCGATTCACTTAACAACCGTGGCAAGAAAATTTCGTAAATTTATTTATTTATTTATTTATTTATTATTGAATTTGTATACCGCCCTACTTCCGAAGGACTCAGGGCGGTGAACAGCCAAATAAAATACATATATTACAAATGTTAAAAAAAACTGTTAAAATACAATTAAATAATTGGCCCGAAAAACGAATTTAAAACACCCCAAAAATGGGTCAAAACTCGCTCACTTAGCAACAGAAAAGTTTTGGGCTCCCCTGCGGTCGTACGTCGAGGACTCGCTGTAAAATAAAGGGATTTCTTCCCTGCTGCTGCACTTGTTTACTCCAAAACTGGGTTGGCTTGCTTTAAAATCAACAACATCTGTCCGCAGTGTGGACATCTGGTTTGCCATCTCGCTTCCTGATTGGCTGGCTCTGCTCCTTCCTCCCTCCCATCCAGCATCTGGTGGGGGATTTAGCAAATCTGCAACCTTAAAAGGTTTCCAGAATTACAGTTGTGTGGCCAAAATTATGGAAACCTTTTGGGAAAAGTTGTATTTTTGAGGTTTGATGGCTAATAACACCACTTTTTTTTTTGTTTGGAGTTTCAAGATAATCCTATTCCACTGCTGGAATGGCCTGGGAATAGCCCAGACATTCTTAACCTGATGGAAAATCTAGGGAGCCGACTAAAGAAACTTATTAGTCAGAAGCAACCTAGCAATAAAACCCAGTTAATAGAAGCCATCATTCAATCTTGGTTTCACATCATAACAGCTGCAGAACTAAAAGACTTGGTTCACTCCATGGGAAGACGTTGTAAGGCCATCATTCATGCTGAAGGTGACCCAACGAAGGATTAACTGACATGGGGATCATTTCTGTATATCTTGTTTTTTCTACGTGTTTCACTTTTCTACTTTCTACTGTAACTGCTATTCTAAGAGCAAATCCTTCATAACAGTTATTGCATTACATTCTTGATTAAATTATCTTTCCATTGATATATAATTTTATGATACTATTCCCCCCAAAAATGGTGTTATTAGCTAGTTTTAGAAAATACACTTTTCCCAAAAGGTTTCCACAATTTTGGCCACTACCGTAAACTAGTTGGTGGGTTTGCTCCAGCAGAGAATAGAATAGAATAGAAAAGAAAATAGAATAGAGAATAGAATAGAATAGAATAGAAATTAGAATAGAATAGAATAGAATAGAATAGAATAGAATAGAATAGAATAGAATAGAATAGAATAGAATAGAATAGAATAGAATACAGAATAGAGAACAGAATAGAAAATAGAATAGAAATTAGAATAGAATAGAATAGAATAGAATAGAGAACAGAATAGAACAGAATAGAAAATAGAATAGAAATTAGAATAGAATAGAATAGAATAGAAATTAGAATAGAATAGAATAGAATACAGAATAGAGAACAGAATAGAAAATAGAATAGAAATTAGAATAGAATAGAATAGAATAGAATAGAATAGAATAGAATAGAATAGAATAGAATAGAAATTAGAATAGAAATTAGAATAGAATTAGAATAGAAGAGTTGAGCAATTGTGGCTCTTTTACAACCTGTGGACTTCAACTCCCAGAATTCCTGAGACAGCTTGGCCAGGCTGTCTCAGGAATTCTGGGAGTTGAAGTCCACAGGTTGTAAAAGAGCAACAATTGCCCACCGCCTGATTCCTAGAGAAAGACCGGTGAACTGATTTCCAGCTTCTGCGATTGCAGTTTTCCTTTACCATTAAATCCATATCATGGCACAGGACTTGGGTGGTTTTGGGGGGGGTGGGGTGCAACTGCCAGACCACCTACCCACTTCCTTTCTCATTTCCACCTGTTATTTTTCCCCCCAGCGTTATCGGACCCCTCGGCCAAGGAAAACTGCATGCTGCATCTTCTACGCTCCCTCCCAGACCCCAACCTCATCACCTTCCTCTTCCTCCTAGAACACTTAAAAAGGTGAGTTTTTTCCTTCTTTCGGCGGTTTTTTTTTTTTTTTTCCCCATTGATTTCTCTGGCACGTCCCCGTTTTCCATCCCTCCCTTCCGCTTCGAAGCTTCCCAGGATTGCCAGCGAGTTACAGTCGTGGCCAAAATTGTGGAAACCTTTTGGGAAAAGTGTGTTTTTGAGGTTTGGTGGTTATTAACACCACTTTTTGTTGGAGTTTCAAGATATTCTACTGCTGGAATAACCTGGGAAGAGCCCAGACCTTCTTAACCCAATGGAAAATCTAGGAAGCCGACTAAAGAAACTTGCTAGTCAGAAGCGACCTAGCAATAAAACCCAGTTAATAGAAGCCATCATTCCATCTTGGTTTCACATTAGAAAAGCTGCAGAACTCAAAGACTTGGTTCCCTCCATGGGAAGACGTTGTAAGGCCGTCATTCATGCTAAAAGTTACCCAACTAAGGATTAACTGACATGGGGATCATTTTTGTATATCTTGTTTTTTTTCATTTTTTTTATATCATTTTTTTATATCTCATTTTTTCTATGTGTTTCACTTTTCGTCTTTCTACTGTAACTGCTATTCTGAGAGCAAATCCTTCATAAAAGTTATTGCATTACGTTCTTGAGTAGATTATCTTTCCATGGATATATAATTTTATGGTACTAATCCTCCAAAAAGTGGTGTTATTAGCTAGCTTTAGAAAATACGCTTTTCCCCAAAGATTTCCACAATTTCGGCCACTACTGTACAGGTAATCCTCGACTTAACCAATGGAGCCCAACATTTCCGTTGCTAAGCGAGACATTTGTTATGGGGGGTTTTGCCCCATCTTACAACCTTTTTTTTGCCACCGTTGTTAAGTGAATTGCTTCGGTTGTTAAGTGAGTCACACGGTTGTTAAGTGAACCTGGGCTTCCCCGTTGGCTGTTTCTCAGAAGCTCACAAAAGGAGATCATTTTACGACCTTCCTTAACACGGTTGTTAAGTGAATCTGGCTTCCCACTGCAACCGTCATAAATGTGAGCCAGTTGCCAAACATCCAAATTTTGATCACGTGACTGTGGGGATGCTGCAACGGTCGTAAGTGTGAAAAATGGTCCAAAGTCAAGTTTTCTCAGTGCTCTTGTAACTTCGAATGGTCACTAAATGAATTGTTGTAAGTCGGAGGACTAATTTCATTGGAAAAAAATGGAGGGGGAGGGGGAAGCAAATCCAGAAGCAGCAAGGAGAAAATCTAACACGCTTTGACCGGCGTCACAAAAACAGGAGCTGTAAATAAAACGAAGAGCAACGCTTTTGGGAAAATAAAAACGGTAAAAGAATCTTTCCAAAGGCAGAGGAAAAGGGGGGAGAAATTCCTTTTTAGCCTGGGGAAATCAGCTTTATTATTTTGCATATTTACAGGAATGCAGAATTTTATATTTTTTTTTATTTTTTATTTTTGCATGAAAAGGGGCACCTCCTAAATTGCTTCCCCACTTCAATAATCTCAGGGCCTTTGACCAAAAGAATTTCCCTGTCTCTGCAAGAAAGGAACCTGCATTTTTTTTTGGGGGGGGGGGGCCTTCAGATTCTATCCGATGCTGCTTTTTAAAAAAATAATAATAATAATAATTCTGCCCTACGGCATTTTGCATCACTGTTGGCCGGGAGAGATGAGAAGGGGGTTCAGAGAGGGGGGCACTAGGGCTGAGAGATCCAACCCCCTTCCCCAATTTGAGTCTCGGGGGGTGGGGAGGGGTCTGCAGAATTTCCCCTTGTCCTCGCTTGCACCCGGAGCCTCCTGCCGAGGACACAAGCTGCGGTTTGGTGCAGGGCCCAGCTGGCATGAGAAACACGCCAAGTTGGAATTGAGGACTGGAAGCTTTGCACGCTCGCCTCCCTCTGGTGGCTTTAACCCAGCGGTGTGTGGAATGAGGAACTGCAAGCGACTGAAAAACGAGAAAGGTGGGGGGGAAGATGGACAATTAATGTCGCTTGCAAGGAAAATCCACGGGGGGTTCCTCACTCAGGACCGGAGACATGCCTCGTTCCAAATCTGTGTGTCATGGCAGAGCTGAAGGGTATTCAGCTTGTCGATGTTGAGAGAGGACAGCTGTTCTCTCGCTGTAGCTATATTTGCTCTCTGGTTTGCAGGATGGGCTGGCTGTGATTTGTGTGTGTGTGTGTGTGTGTGTGTGTGTGTGTTTGTGTGTGTGTGTGTGTGTTGTGTGGACGCAGTGAAGGAAGGGGGTGGATGGGAGAGCTACGAAGCCCTAATTTTGGGCAGGAGGGAAAGAAGAGAGGAACGGCAAAAGATGAGTTTGAAACTGCATAGAAGAGACGTGTCCAACCTTGGGAACTTTTAAGACTTGTGGACTACGATTCCCAGAATTCCCCAGCTAGCTATGCTTTTAAGAGGGGTGGGCTTCCACTTCCAGAATCGCCTAGCCATCATACTTTAAGGGGGGGTGGACTTCAACTCCCAGAATTCCCCAGCTAGCTATGCTTTTAAGAGGAGTGGGCTTCCACTTCCAGAATCGCCTAGCCATCATACTTTAAGGGGGGGGTGGACTTCAACTCCCAGAATTCCTCAGCTGGAGAATTCTGGGAGTTGAAGTCCATAAGTCTTAAACCTGCCAAGTTTGAAGACCTCTCCTTTAGAAGAATCACAATAGAAGTTGTGTCATTTTTCTGGGGTAGGAATAGCAGGAACGGGGAGGATGGCGGTTGGGAAAAGAATAGAATAGAATAGAATAGAATAGAATAGAATAGAATAGAATAGAATAGAATAGAATAGAATAGAAGAATGGGATGGAATGGAATGGGATAGGATAGGATGGAATAGGATAGAGAATAATAGAGAATAGGATGAGGATAGGATAGAAAAATAGAATAGAATAGAATAGAGGAATGGAATGGAATGGAATGGAATGGAACGGAATAATTAGAATTAAAATGGAATAGAAGAATTAGAATAGAATGGAATGGAATGGAGAATAGAATAGAATAGAATGGAATAGAATAGAATAGAATAGAATAGAATAGAATAGAATAGAATAGAATAGAATAGAATAGAATAGAATAATAGAATAGAATAGAATAGAATAGAATAGAATAGAATAGAATAATGGAATGGAATGGAATGGAATAATTAGAATTAGAATGGAATAGAAGAATTAGAATAGAATAGAATAGAATAGAATGGAATGGAATGGAATAGAATAGAATAGAATAGAATAGAATAGAATAGAATAGATAGAATAGAATAGAATAGAATAGAATAGAATTTTTATTGGCCAAGTGTGATTGGACACACAAGGAATTTGTCTTGGTGCATACGCTCTCAGTGTACATAAAAGAAAAAATATGTCTGTCAAGAATCAGAAAAGGTGAGAAAATTGTTCGTTTTACACCTGGGCTCGGCTGGGAGGAAGGCCGAGACCGGCGACATTGGTGCCCAATTCTCGTGGTCTTCTGAACCCCGTCCTGTTGCCGCAGGGTTGCCGAGAAGGAGCCCGTCAACAAAATGTCCCTACACAATCTGGCCACCGTCTTCGGCCCGACGTTGTTGAGACCCTCAGAAGTGGAGAACAAAGGCCACGTCACTTTGGCCTCGGACATCTGGTCGCACGACGTGATGGCGCAGGTGAATACCGGGGATGGGGACGTTGCGGAGTTGAGTAGCACGGTGGGGTGGGATGGAGTGGAGAAGACCTCTCTGCTGGGGCCGTGGGGTCTTTCTTGGGGAGGGGTCTGCAGCAAAGCAGCCAATTGTGTTTCTCATAATGTGAAGATGATATTCCCCTTGGGGGTGGCAGGGGGGGAATGGATAACAAGCTGTCAATCATCTCAATGTCCTCCTTGCACTTTGCAAAGCTCGTCAATCAAAACACGAACTTTGTATTATTTTATTTTTATCCGTATCCTGCCTTTATTATTTTTGCAAATAACTTGAGGTGGTGCACATAGCCAATATGTCTCCATCCTTCTATTTGTCGCACAACAACAATCCTGTGAGGTGGGCTGGTCTGAGAGATGAGACGGACTTGTCCAATCATCCAGCTGGTTTTCACGCCTAAGGCGGGACTAGAACTCCCAGTGAATAGGTGAGTTCTAGGTGAAACTAGAACTCATAGTGTCCCGGTCACTGAAGCCAGCTATGCCTAAGGCGGCACTAGAACTCACCACCTCCTGGTGATTGGTCCAAAGTCACCCAGCCGGTTTTCATGCCTAAGGCAGGACTAGAATTCCCAGGGAATAGGTGAGTTCTAGGTGAGACTAGAATTTACTGACTGCCACTTTCTATCCTTTGTGTCCGAACCTTAAAATCTAGTAATGGAGCATAAACATTATACATTATAAAACAATATTTACTCCCCAGTAAAGGAAAATTCCTGATTGCTATCAGAAGAAGCCCCAAATTTTTTATGTGTGTGTCTCTTTCTCTCTCTCCGGCTGTGTGTGAATCACCCCAAATCAATTCGGATTTTCACAGGGATTCAGAAAAAAACAAAACAATTTAATTTAATTCAGACTTTGGAATTAAACCGCCTTTTTTTGGAATTCATGCAGGCATTTTTTTTTCCTGCCCCTGAAGGCTCCAAAATCAAATGAAGCAATGGGGACTCCGTGTTCCTGACATTCGGATTTTGCTCCCTGCTGAGAACCCATGTTGAATCAAATCAATCAAATCGCCTCCCGAGTTGAATTTCCAGAACAAATAGAAGTAGTCCTTAACTTATAGAATAACAGGACTAGTGGCCAGTTTTAAGTTTCTGTTTGTTATCCTAAAAGAGGAGCTGGACCTGGGATGCTCACATTGCAACCCTGGTCAAAAGGGCCCAGCAGAGATTATACGACCTGAGACTTCTCAGCAAACAACAACGGAACGGAAGGGAAATAAGAGCAAACAGAAGAGAAAAAAAAACGGGATACAATTAGGGTTATGGAAAAAGAGGTGAAACTCTTTATCTATCAACATAAATGGGCTTAAACTCAACGACGAAAAGAAAAAGGATTTTGGCAAACTTAATAAAACAAAATGCAGATATTATATGTTCACACATTTTTTTATTTAAATTTTGATTTATATGCCACCCTTCTCCAGAGACTCAGGGCGGCTTACAATGTGTTAAGCAATAGCCTTCATACTTTCGTATATTTATACAAAGTCAGCTTATTGCCCCCATAAACTGGGTCCTCATTTAACCTACCTTAGAAAGGATGGAAGGCTGAGTCAACCTTGAGCCTGGTAGGATTCGAACTTGCAGTAATTGCAGGCAGCTGTGTTAATAACAGGGTGCTTTAGACCACTGTACTACCAAGGCTCTTTAAACAGATGAAAAATATTTAGATTGCCCCAAATTAGGGACTCCGTTTACGGCTTCTGCAGATCAGGAGAAAAAGAAAGGAATAGCTGTCTACATTAAAGAAGAGATAAAGGCAAACTTAATATTTGCAGACCCCCCAAAGGAAGAATTCTGGCAGTAGAAATACAGATAAATTTTAAGTTCAAAACATTCTTAAAGATCCATCTCATCCTGGGCACCCCCCCACTTTTTTTTTTTTTTGAACTATTACCATCTGGCAGACGGTACAGGATAATAAAAACAAGGACAAATAGGCTGAAAAACAGCCTCTATCCCAGGGCAGTAACTATATATATATATATATATTTGATTTATATGCTGCCCTTCTCCGAAGACTCAGGGCGGCTTACAATGCGTTAAGCAATAGCCTTCATCCTTTTTGTATATTTTATACAAAGTCAGCTATTGCCCCCACAATCTGGGTCCTCATTTAACCTACCTTAGAAAGGATGGAAGGCTGAGTCAACCTTGAGCCTTGGCGAGATTCAAACCCTGCAGTAATTGCAGGCAGCTGGTCTTAATAACCAGCTTAATAACAGGGTGCCTTAAACCCCTGCACTACCAAGGCTCTTGGATTCTACTGTATGTGTTAATGCAATATCGGGTTTTTCAATTCAATTGTATAGAATGCGATGGATGTGTGTTTGTGTTTTATTTTTTATAGTTATAATGTACACTGAAGGCGGCATTTAATTTCGTTGTACGAGGTGCAATGACAATAAAGGAAACTAAAGACGACTGTTATCCAGTCAGAGCTGAAGAAGCTTCTCGGATGAGAAGCGAAACGTCTTCAAAAGAAAAAAAAACAGTTGCCTCTTGAAAAAGCCATAAGTCGGTCATAAGTTGAGGAGTACCCCAAGAGGCATAATAAACGCGAGTGGCTGTAATTCTAGTTTCGTGGGCGCTCCATCACTGGAGTTTTTTCAGGAAGAGACTGGACAGCCACTTGTCTGAAATAGTATAGGGGCTGGACTAGAAGACCTCCAAGGTCCCTTCTGGTTCTGATCTATAGTAGTGGCCAAAATTGTGGAAACCTTTTGGGAAAAGCGTATTTTCTAAAACTAGCTATTAACACCACTTTTTTTTGGGAGTAGTAGTACCATAAAGTTATATATCAATGGGAAGATAATTTAATCAAGAATGTAATGCAATAACTTTTAGGAAGGATTTGCTATTAGAATAGCAGTTATGGTATAAAGAAGAAAAGTGAAACACGTAAAAAAAACGAGATATGCAAAAATGATCCCCATGCCAGTTAATCCTTAGTTGGGTAACTTTTAGCATGAATGACGGCCTTACGACATCTTCCCATGGAGGGAACCAAGTCTTTGAGTTCTGCAGCTGTTCTAATGTGAAACCAAGATGGAATGATGGCTCCTATTAACTAGGTTTTATTGCTGGGTGGCTTCTGACTAACCAGTTTCTTTAGTCGGCTCCCTAGATTTTCAATTGGGTTAAGAAGGTCTGGGCTCTTCCCAGGTTATTCCAGCAGTGGAATAGGATAATCTTGAAACTCTCTCTCAAAAAAATGGTGTTATTAGCCATCAAACCTCAAAAATACACTTTTCCCAAAAGGTTTCCTCAATTTTGGCCACGACTGTATTCATGACTGTTAAAGAGCCTTGGTGGCGCAGCTGACTAAGTGCTGTTAAGTAGCACCAGCTGCCTGCAATTACCGCGAGTTTGAATCTCACCAAGCTCAAGGTTGACTCAGCCTTCCATCCTTCCGAGGTAGGTAAAATGAGGACCCGGATTGTGGGGGCAATAAGCTGACTTTGTATAAAAAAAGAACACCGCTTGGGGGGGACCCGAAAGCCCTACTAAGCAGGTATATACAAAAGTATGAAGGCTATTTATTTATTTCATTATTTTAATTTTTAATCATTGTTGTGTCTTGTGTGTTTAAAATGGCTGTACACCGCCCTGAGTCCTTCGGGAGAAGGGCGGTATAGAAATAAAATTATTATATTATTATATTATTATTATTGCTTAACGCATTGTAAGCTGCCCTGAGTCTCCGGAGAAGGGCGGCATATAAATCGAACCAACCAACCAACCAATCTATGTATATATATACATACATACATACATACATACATACATACATACATACATACATACAGCCAGCTTTCCTCCTTTCCTCTTGGCCCTGCATGGCCAATGGGCCCCTGGCCCTCCCACCCATTCTCCCAAACACCGTTGGACTCAAAATAAACCTCAGCCGATCGGGTGGCAGGCAGAAGCAACGATGCTGCGGGGACAGCCCCTTTTAGAATAACAGCGTGGGAAGGGACCTTAGAGGTCTTCTAGTCCAACCCCACCGCTTGGGCAGGAAACCCTACTACACCACACACACACCAAAAAAAAAAAAAACATTTGGGAGTCCCAGAATCGGTTCCTCTTCCTGACATTTGGACGGATAACTGGGGAAGCGTCCTTGTGGCGGGTGGGGGAGGAGGGTCGCCACATGTGTGAATCCCCCCCCCCTTTTTGTCTCACATTCTGGCTTTGTCTTCCTCTCTCTTCCCACCCCCCCCCAGGTCCAGGTGCTGCTGTACTATTTGCAACACCCGCCCATCTCCTTCGCCGAGCTGAAGCACAACGCGCTCTACCTATCCACGGATGTGTAGTGGCGGGCAGTTCCGCAGCCGTGATCACCGTCTCCCGTTTTTTTCGAAGCGGAAGGAAGGATCCTCGGGCAGAGGCGGCTTCTGGGACGCTGACCCCCCCCTCACCCCCATTCCCTAAGGAGGGCTTTGGGCTCTTCGGGGAGGGGGCAATTCTGCCCGCTGCAGCCCCCCCCCCCCCACCCCCGGATTGTTTTGTACAAGTCTTTTCCCAGCTCCTCCCTCAGCTCCCTCTCCCTCCGAGGAGTCCAGCTCTTTGTTTTCTGCACAAGAGTTGACTTTCTGCACCCTGAGACGGGCCGGAGTCGTTCGGACACAACGTCCCTTTGGGCCGCGGAAAGGAAGCGAGTCGTGGACAAGGGATCGGGACCCCGGCCTTGAACGGACGTCCTGCGCTTTTTCCCAGAACGTTGTCATCTTCTGGGTTGCACCGGGCGCTCAAGCAGCCAAGCCTCTCCTGTCCTCTCCCTCGCGGTCTGCATCAAGGCTTCTTCTCTTTTGCTCCGTCCTTGGCTGTTGCATGAATGGTACTTTGATTTTGCTCCTTCCTTCCTTCCTTCCTTCCTTCCTTCTTCTCCTTCTTCCGTTCTCCTTCCCTTCGTTTCCTTCTCCTTTTCTCCTTTTCCTTCTCCCATTCTCCTTCTTCCCTTCTTTTCCTTCTCCCTCTTCCCTTTTTTCTTCTCCTCTTCACCTTCCCCCTTTCCTTCTCCTTCTCCCTCTTCCCTTTCTTCTTCCTTTCTTCTCCTTCTCCCTCTTCCCTTCTCCCGCTTCCCTTTTTTCTTCTCCTCTTCACCTTCTCCCTCTCCTTTTTCTTCTCCCTCCTTCCCCTCCTTCTCCTTTTCCTTCTCCTTCTCCTTTTCCTTCTTCTCTTCTTTCATCTTCCTTCTTTTCTCCTTTCCCTGGTTCTGTTCTCCTTCTTCCCTTCTCCTCCCTCTTCTCTTCTTCTTCAGCCTTTCCTTCTTCTCCCTCTTCTCTTTTCCTTCTCTAACCTTCTCTTCTCCTTCTCAGTTCTGTTCTCCTGCTTCCCTTCTCCTTCCTTCTCTTCTTTTTCCTTCTTCTCTTCTTTCCTTTTCCTTCCTTCTCTTCTCTTTCCTTCTTCTCTTCTCTTTCCTTCTCCTTCCTTCTCTTCTTTTTCCTTCTCTTCTCTTTCCTTCTCCTTCCTTCCTTCCCTTCCCTTCTTCTCTTCTCTTTCCTTCTCCTTCCTTCTCTTCTTTTTCCTTCTCTTCTCTTTCCTTCTCCTTCCTTCCTTCCCTTCCCTTCTTCTCTTCTCTTTCCTTCTTCTTCCTTCTCTTCTTTTTCCTTCTTCTCTTCTCTTTCCTTCTCCTTCCTTCTCTTCTTTTTCCTTCTTCTCTTTTCTCTCCTTCTCCGTCCTTCCCTTCCCTTCCCTTCTTCTCTTCTCTTTCCTTCTTCTTTCTCCTCTCTTCTCCTGCCCCTTTCGCTCAGTTGTCTTGGCTGGTGGGTCCGGAGCCTGACCTCAGTGCTCTCTTCCTCCGTCAAGGCGAGCTGTAAGGTGTCAAATGATGGTCTCAAGGAGGCCTAGTCTGATCCTGGTTTCTATCCCGGGTTATTTTTTAGAATATTTTTGTGTGAGGGGCAGGTGCGTGCTTCGTCCTGCCATTCTCATCCGTCGGCTTTGTGGCTGCTGAGCGCGGCCAATGCTTAGCCCCCGGAGCTCATCCTGGAAGGTACTCTTACGACGGCCGCAGAATGAAGAGACGGTGGCTTTCCTTGCTAGCCTTAGTCGTGCTGGATGTGGTGTGTTTGTGTGAGTGTGTGTTTGTGTGCGTGTGTGCGTGTGATGAACATGTGTGTTTTGTGTGCAAGAAAGAAAAGCCGATCCAGATCTGTTGCTCCCTCCTGAAAATACTTTAGCGAGTTGCTTGGAGATCACTCGGCCTTCGTCCCAATAATACAAAATAGGATTTATGGAGGCAACTGAAATTCAGGAAAATTCAGGCCGGCTGAGAAGCTGACTCAGGAGGATGGGAAGAGGTTGGGGGGATGGGGGGGGGCTTTTGCTGAACCCCAACTCGGCTGCCCAAAAGGTGTTTTCGGGCTGGCCTCTACAATTCTTCCAGCCGAAGCTGCCCCCCCCCCAACATCGGTGCTTAAATCTGGCCACGGTGCAAAGCGGATATCGTCTTATCCAGCACAGCTGATGGGGGGGCTATCGAGAAAAGAGTTTTATTCACCCCCCCATTTTTTAAAAAATTTGATTTATATGCCGCCTTTTCTCTGGAGACTCAGGGCGGCTTACAATGTGTTAAGCAATAGCCTTCATACTTTTGTATATTTATACGAAGTCAGCTTATTGCCCCCACAAACCGGGTCCTCATTTTACCCACCTTAGAAAGGATGGAAGGCTGAGTCAACCTTGAGCCTTGGCGAGATTCGAACCTGCAGTAATTGCAGGCAGCTGGTCTTAATAACAGGGTGCTTTAGACCACTGTACTACCAAGGCTCCTTTTAAGAATTTGGCTGCCTTTTCTCTCTCTCTCTCCAGGCCATGCAAAGAGACAATCAGAAAAACCCCAAAAAAATCTTTCCCCTGAAATGCAGCAAAACAAAATATACGCCCCCAACTTCAAACAAACAAACAAAACCAGGTCTCCCCAAACAAACCAGGATCAGAAACAACGGAGCAGCCCGGGAACTGGGTTTTGCAGGTCCGTAAGGGGTGCTGTTTTGAACCCCGAATCCATTTGTTCGGTTCTAAGGACCCAAGGAGGGGATAGAAAACGGAGCAACGACCCCATGAACTATAATTTGATTTTATTTTTAATTGTAAGCTGCATGGAATCCCCTGTGTGGGGACCAGGAGTCCATATAAATTTGTTAGTAGCTAAATGCAGGTAGTCCTCGACTTACGACCTCAATGGAGCGAGGCCAACATTCCTGCTGCTAAGTGAGACATTAGTTAAGGGAGTTCTCCCCTCCCCCCCCCCCGTTTAACCACCATTCTTGCTGCGGTTATTTAAGTGAACCACTGCAGCTGTGAAAATAGTAAGGCGGTCGTTGAGCGAATCTGGCTTCCTTGCCGAGACTTTGCTTTGAGGTCGCAAAAGGGGATCGCATGACCCCCGGGGAAACATTGCCGCCGTCATAAATATGAGTCAGGGGCCGTGGGGAGGCTGCAACGGTCGTCAGTGGTGAAAAACTGGTTGTTTCAGTACCGTTGAAACTTTGAACGGTCGCTAAATGAAACTGTTGTAAGTCAAGGACTAGCTGTATCCCTGGGGTGCCCGGCATCTTCCAATATCTCAGGGGCTGCCCCAAAGAAGAGGGAGTCAAGCTGTGGGCAGGAGGGCAGGAAGGCAGGACAAGAAGCAACGGGTGGAAACTAATCAAGGAGAGAAGCAACTTGGAACTAAGGAGAAATTTCCTGACAGTGAGAACAATTAGCCAGTGGAACTACTTGCCACCAGTAGCTGTAAATGTTTTTAAGAAGATGTTGGATAACCATTGGTCTGAAGTGGTGTACGGTTTCCTGCCGGAGCAGGGCGTTGGACTAGAAGACCTCCAAGGCCCCTTCCAACTCTGTTATTCTATTTTGCCCTCAAAAGGGAAGGTGACGACGTATCGCCATATTCAGGGACCAAATATATCTGACTTTCTTTGGTGGCTGAGTTGCACTGCTGGCTGTTTAGCTATTGCAGGGGGGTCCTCGACTTACGACCGCAATTGGGAGCAGAATGTTCAGCTGTTAAGCGAGTTGTGCAAAATTTGAAACCCCCCCCCTTTTTTTTTTCCATGGTGGTTAAGCCAATCAATGCCGCTGTTAAGTGAATAGTGCAGTCGTTAAGCGAATCCAGTCCCCCCCCCAAAATTGGCTCTGCTTGTAAGAAACATGCTGGGAAGGTCACAGAGGAGGATCATGTGACCCCAGGATGTAAATAATATACCTGTTGCCTAAATTTTGATCACGAGGATGCTGCAACGGTCGTAAGTGTGAGGAGCGGTCGTAAGTCCGCTTTCCCCCCCCCCCAGTTCTGTTGTCACTTCGAACAGTCGCTGAACGAAGCATCGTTACGGTATGTCTGATGATTGCACAGCATTTCGTTCCTTTTTGACTACGAAGCCCCACGATAGACAAAAAGTCACTTCTGAGAAAAAGACGTGAAACGTTTTTCTCTCCCCTGTTGTGTTGTACACAACTTGTCCCGTTTTTTTGGGGGGGTTCCCCAGAAAAAGTGGGAGGCAGGGAGAAGAAACTGGGGGGCTCCGGGAGCTACGACTGGCCGAGAAACGTTTTTTTTTTTGAGCGATATCGAAAATTCAGAAATATATACACAAACAAACACAAGAGACACGGATGTGCGTGCGTGTTTTTGCAAGATTACGTGTATGTGTGCGTGGTTCTGTTGTTCTGTTGCGGGTTTCTTTCTTCCTTCCCCCCCCCCCCCCCTGTAGATGACAAACTTCGATGGATGAAAAAAAAAGAGAAAAAAAAAAACTATGTCAAAAGATGAAAAGATGTTAATAATAAACGCAGAGGCCATACACGTTTGCATACGTGACTCGGGGAGCGCTGTTGTTTTTGTGTCCCAATTCTAACAACCTCACAACGACTTCTTCGCTTACGTGCGTTGGCTCACCTGGGTTTGGAGTTCGGGTTCTCGCCGGTTAGAGCAGGGGGGTCAAATTTGATTTAATTGAGGGGCGCATCAGGGTTCTGTTTGATCTCGGAGGGCGGGGAGGGGCATGCCTGACGGGTGTGTGTGGTCATGGGGGGCGTGACACGGGACCCGTGTTGGGGGGGGCACCTGTGGTGGCCAAGTTCTAAGGTAGGACTTCCCTGGGACCCTCCCTCACTCTCATAACGTCCTTCCTTTCTCTCTCCCCACTCCTTCCTTTTCCTTCCTTCCTTTCCTCCCTGCCTTCTCTTTTCCCTTTCTCATCTTCCTCCCTCCCTCTCTTTCCTTCCTCACTCCTTCCTTCCTTTTCCCTTCCCTCTTCATTCTTTCTTCCTTTCCTCCCTCCCTCACTGCTTTTTTCCCTTTCTCATCTTCCTCCCTCCCTTTCCTTTCACCCTCCCTTCCCCATTCCTTCCTTCCTTCCTTTTCTCTTCCCTCTTCATTCTCCTTTCTTCCTTTCCTCCCTTCCCTCACTGCCTTCTCTTTTCCTTTTCTCATCTTCCTCCCTCCCTCTTTCCTTCCTCACTCCTTCCTTCCTTTTCCCTTCCCTCTTCATTCTTTCTTTCTTTCCTCCCTCCCTCACTGCCTTTTTTTCCCTTTCTCATCTTCCTCCCTCCCTCTTTCCTTCCACCCTCCCGTCCTCCCTCCTTCCTTCCTTTCTTTTCCCTTCCCTCTTCATTCTTGCTTCTTGCTTCCCCTTTCCTTCTCCTTCCTTCCTTTCCTCCCTCCCTCCCTTCCCCACTCCTTCCTTCCTTTTCCCCTTCCCTCTTCATTCTCCTTTCTTCTTGCTTCCCCTCTTTCCTTCTTCCTTCCTTCCTTGCTCTCTTCCCATCTTTCCTTCTTTTCCTTTCTCTTTCCCTTTCTCCTTTCCTGCCCTTTCTTGGATGCTCAAATGCAAAAGGGGAAACATTTCTCATTTTGTTTTGTTTTTAGTTTGTTTTGATAGTCCTCTGCCAGCGAAAACGGAGCCGGGGGGGGTCAAATGCAGGGCCCCCCACGCCCCATTTTCGGCCACAATGGTCTCCTCGGCCAGTAAAACCAGGGAATGGGACCACACGTTAAGGAAGAGAAAGATTAACACAAATCCAACAGGTTGTGTGAATCCAGGGAGTCGATTTAACGAGCACAACGGAGCCCAAGATATGTGTTGCCGAGCGAAACGTTTGTTAAGGGAGGTTTTGCCCCATTTTACGACCTTCCTTTCCCACTGTTGTTAAGCGAATCGCTGCAGCTATTAAGTGAGTCACACGGTTGCTAAGTGAATCGGGCTTCCCTATGGATTTTGCCCCTAAGAAGGTCGCAAAAGAGGATCACGTGACAATTCCCCCCACCCACCCCCGGGAGACACTGCGGCCGTCATAAATGTGAGCCAGCTATCCAAAGCTGTCCAAATTTTGTTCCTCGTGACCGGGAGGACGCTGAAATGTGTCGTCGTGCGTGAAAAATGGGTCGCGAATCACATTCTCCAGGGCCGTTGTCATTTTGAACCGTCACTAAATGAACGGTTGTAAGTCGAGGACCCCCCCTGCGCTTATTCAGCCATGGCAAGAGCGACCCCCTGAGTGTTGAATCTGCAAGGGGCTCAATCCACCCTCTGAGCTTCTAAAGCAGTGTTTCTCAACCTTGGAAGCTTGAAGATGGGTGGACTTCAACTCCCAGAATCCCCCAGCCAGCGCTGCTGGCTGGGGGATTCTGGGAGTTGAAGTCCACCCATCTTCAAGCTTCCAAGGTTGAGAAACACTGTTCTAAAGGATGAAAACCACGCGACAATTTATATTATGCCACTTGGCAATTATAATAATTCACCTAATAAATAAATGAGGATGGCTGCCATGGAAAAGACAGGAAGGATGCCTGGTGGTCCTTTTATAATGCCTTTTTTAGATTATATTTTGTTATTATTTTATAAGGCCACACATGGAATACCGCACCCAGTTTTGGTCGCCACGATGTAAAAAAAAAGATGTGGAGACTCTGGAAAGAGTGCAGAGAAGAGCAAGAAAGAGGATGAGGGGATGATTGGAGGCTAAAACATAGGAAGAACCGTTGCAGGAACTGGGTCTGTCTAGTTTAATGACGAGAAGGACTAGGGGAGACATGAGAGCAGGATTTCTTGCTTTCTAGTGAATCTAAATCACGCGGCACATCTGATTGTAGGAAATACCGGTTCGGACGAATCGGTAGCATTTTCTTATTACCGGTTTGCCCGAACCGGTGCGAACCGGTAGCATTTCACCCCTGGTGGAAACTAATCAAGGAGAGAAGCAACTTAGAACGAAGGAGAAATTTCCTGACAGTGAGGACAATTAATCAGTGGAACAACTTGCCACCAGAAGTTGCAGATGCTCCAACACTGGGAGTTTTTAAGAAGATGCTGGATAACCATTTGTCTGAAGTGGTGTAGGGTTTCCTGCCTAAGCAGTGGGTTGGACTAGAAGATCTCCAAGGTCCCTTCCAACTGTTTTCTATTTCTATTATTTCTATTTCTATATTTATTTCTATTCTGTTCAATTCAATTCTAATTCTAATTCTATTCTAGTTCGAATTCGAATTCTGTTTTTATTCTATTCTATTCCATTCCATTTCCATCCCTTTAGAAGCCTGTTCGCATGGCTGCTTTTGGGTCTATAAATGGGCTGGGTGGGGCCGAACTCAAGATACAGGTAGTCCTCGACTTATGACCACAATCGATCCCAAAAGTCCCCTTTGCTAAGCGAACAGCGGCTCAGTTAAATTTTGCCCCGTTTCACAACTTTTCTCGCCACTTTTGGTTAAGGGAATCACTGCAGTTAAGTTAGCCAAAGGGTTGTTAAGTGAATCTGGCTTCCCCCCTTGACTTTGCTGGTCCGAAGGTCGCAAAAGGAAATCACGTGACCCTGGGACACTGCAACCGTCATAAATGTGAGTCAGTGGCCAAGCCTCTGAATTTGGATCACGTGACCCTGGGGAATGCGGCAACGGTTGGGTGAAAAAACAGTCCCAAGTCTTTTTTGTTTCAGTATGGTTTAACTTCAAACGGTCACTATACGAACTGTTGTAAGTCACGGACTACCCGAATTGTGACTATGTCCAATGTCAGCCAGTGTCAATAAACAGGGATGCCCTTCGTGTCTGTAAAGGTTCTCCATCCTCCAGGTCATGGTTGTCCCAAAGGTGCGTTTTCAAGAGGCAACTGGACTTTCGGTATAGGCAGTTCAATGCAGCGAGATGTGTGAAGATTGGGGAAACAAAACCACCGCTTCATATACGCATGACGCAACGTAAGAGAACAAACCCATCAGGACAAGATTTAAAATACAAAGTCCACTCTTTTGGACAGAGAGGACGGCTGGTTTGAAAGAGGGGTCCAAAAGGCTATCTGTGTCCAAACTGAACAGCCCTCTCTCAACAGAGGGGGAGGGATACGACCTCATCTATCTCCGGTCTACAACACAGGTCCTTTCAGCAGGTCCAAGAAGGCTCCACACCCATTTGCACTACTCGGGTGACCCTGAGGACACAGATAAACCTCCTAGTGCTTAAATGACCCTCTAAAAGGATGCAACTGACCAGCTGTCTGCAAGGAGTATCGATCCTTTCCTTCCGCACCATCCGGTCAGAGCTGAAGAAGCTTCTGGGATGAGAAGCGAAACGTCTGCAAAGAAACCTCAGAAAGTCCAGTTGACTCTTGAAAAAAAAAAAAAAAAATAAAAGCACCTTTGGAACAGATGCCCTTTGCTGCTTCTCCAGCGGTGTCCCTTCCTTCCTTTGGTAACGGGGCGCATCGCGAGGTACGGAAGAAAAAAACGAGAATTAAGGTGATTCTGGTCTGTCTCCGCATCTATTTTAAGGCACACGTCCCTATTTAGCAGCTGCCAGAAAGACTCCCTTCCACTACCATCCCCTCTGCAGGCACGGCACACTGTTTTCCGTTATCCTGAAAGAGTGGTGTGTTGTGATTTCTACACATGCACACGCACGTACACTGCCTGCTCCATGTGTTGCTTATATAAAGGCATTATATAATATAATTGCATAACAGGTGTGACAGATTTTAGGGGAGTGCCAGTCCCCTCATTTAAACCTGCCCGCCCTTCCTGGGTTGTGTCTTATTTAGCAGAAAAAAAACAAACAAACAATTGCTCCCTCTTTCAGGGAGATATTCCGACATGCGGGGCTGCTAGAATCCCTGGTTGAATGTGTGCGTCCTAAATGAGCCGTTGCAGATCACTGGAGTTATTGCTACAAGATGGGATAAAAGAAACTTCAAATTAAAAATTCAAAGAGAGAAGCAAATCTGGAATTAAGGACAAAGTTTCCTAACAGTGAGGACAATTAATCAGTGGAACAGCTTGCCACCAGAAGTTGTGGGTGCTTCATCACTGGAGGTTTTTAAGAAGAGATTGGACAGTCCTTTGTCTGGAATGGTATAGGGTCTCCTGCTTGAGCAGGGGGTTGGACTAGAAGACCTCCAAGGTCCCTTCCAACTGTTATTCTATTATTCTATGGGAGGGAGGGAGGGAGGGAGGGAGAGAGAGAGAGAGAGAGAGAGAGAGAGAAGAAGGGAGGAAGGGAGGGAGGCAATAGTTGAAACTAATCAAGGAGAGAAGCAACCTAGAACTAAGGAGAAATTTAATCCAACAGTGAGGACAATTAACCAGTGGAACAGCCTGCCACCAGAGGTTGTGGCTGCTTCATCATTGGAGGTCACAATAGAATGGAATGGAATGGAATAGACTAGAATAACGGAGTTGGAAGGGACTTCGGAGATCTTCTAGCCCAACCCCCTGCTTAAAGAGACTGGACAGTCATCTGTCTGAAATGATGTAGGGCCGGGGTCACCAACCTTTCGGACCTCAGGGACCACTAAATTCATCATTTTAAATCCCACAGACCACTAATAT